TATATATATATATATATATATTTACCTTCTATAAATCAAATGACATGAAATTTCAACAAAATGTTTTACTTACCGATGTGGCTTTGTAACTTGTGATCAACCTCGACAGAAGGAATTGATATTATAGTAATTTAATTTAATTTTAAAAGAAAATAAAAATATTTTTCTTTCTTATTAACTTTATTTTCTAATTCATTTCTATATTCTATTAATTAATTTTTATTTGTCCATAGAGAGAGAAGAGATATCGTGAGAGGAGAGAAAAAAATGAGTTAAAGAAGAAATTTAATAATTTTTATTTGTTCAGAGAGAGACAGAGATGACACGGTGAGAGGTGAGAGAAAAATGAGTTGGAGAAGGAATTTAATAGAAGAGAGAAATGAGTTAGAGAATGAAATTAATAGGAAAAAAAATAATATTATTTTCTTTTAAAATTAAATTAAATTACTATAATATCCTTTATACAAATTAACTAAATCAAAAGAAATGAATGATTTTTTTGTCCTAAAATTTTGATATAAATTATACTTCAACTAAAAATTAGGTGAGCGTATATCAGCAATCCCCATATATATATATATATATATCAAGTATATTTTAATTTAAATAATAGATACAAAATATTTGTCAATAAAAAATATTAAAGAAATAAATTTAAAAATTAAATTATATTTTTAGAAAAGTATTTAAGTTCAAATTTATATTTAACTATTATTTTAGCATATATTCATTTCGTAGGCTAAATGTTTACTATATATAAAATTTTATAATAAGTTATATTTAAAATTTGTATAAATAGATATTTTTAAATATATAAATTTTATTTTTATTTAAAATAAATAAATTTATATTACTATACAAAATTACTTTTAATTGTTGATAATTTATTTTAAAATATTATATTTTAATTAATAAATAAAAAATATGATAAATAAAAAATTAAATTAAAAAAAAACTAAAAATGCTCTCATTGAAAAATAATTCCTAAAAATATTCTTATGTGATATAGTGATTTGTTTTTAATATATAAGAGTTTATTATTATTATTATTATTATTATTATTTAAATTAGTTATTAAATAGTTAATTTATATGTTCAATAATTATGATAAATGAGAATATGAAAAAAAATCTTGTTTCCTCTCCTATATCTATATTACCTTCTATAAATCAAATGACATGAAATTTCAACAAAATATTTTACTTACCGATGTAGCTTTGTAACTTGTGATCAATTACCTCGACGGAAGGAATTGATATTGATGACCACCATGACATAAAGCCTATCTCTCAAGTCATAAAGAAAGTTGAAGTAAGCGTGCCTCCATTTTCTATTTAAGAAAATGGCACAACAAACTCCCAAGAAGCCTATGGCAAATCCAGATCCCATTCCAATATAAAACCAAGGAAAAAATTCAGATTCATCCCCATCTTCATCTATTGGGTTTGTGTCTTTAGATTTACCATCTTGCAAGCAAATTTTTGTAAGTGGAGGTCCACAAAGACCAGGGTTGCCTATATAGCTGAGTGGACTAAATCCCTGAAGTTGGGTGCCTGATGGTATTTTTCCCATCAAATTGTTGAATGATAAGTTTAAGAAACCCAAAAAGGACAAATTGGACAAGCTTTGAGGAATTTCACCCCAAAGTTGGTTTGTTGAAAAGTCAAGGGACTCCAAGTTTTTCATGTTGCCAATCTCATTTGGTATTGTGCCCGTTAATTCATTGTGGGACAAGTTCAAGGAGTTCAGTCCAATGAGGCCAAACATTTGAGAAGGTATTGTCCCAGACAAATTGTTATTTGACATATCAATTAAGGTCATAAAGTGAAGGTTTTTCCCATATTCTGATACTAGACCTTTTGTAACCAGCTCAAGAGTGTCCTCCAAGAAAAAGTTACGATTACCAATTAAAGCAAAGTAAAAAGTAAGCTTGTTTTGTGAAGCATTGTTGAAAACCAAATCTGTGATGTTATGTATGCAACTAGGTATATGTCCCGAGATTTTGTTATCTGCAATATCCAAAATAATGACTGAAGATATTTGGCATATTTGTGGTGGGATATGACCTCTAAAATTATTTGACCTTAATTGGAGAGCCTTTGTACTGTGTGGTATCCAGTTTGGTATGTTTCCTGAAAAGTTGTTTTCACGAACATTGAAGATCAATAGAGAATGGCAATTTTGCAGTGAGGGAGGAATCTCTCCATAGAGCTTATTCTCATGTAAATGCAGTGAGGAAAGATTAGATAACAACCCCATTGATGGGGGTATCATGCCTTTTAGATTATTGTTTCCCAGGTTAATATGAACCAATGATTTCCAATACTTCCAACAATTTGTAAGCCCTCCATGTAGATTATTCATAGATAGGTCTAAGACCATCAAATTGCTTTTCTCATTCAGCATCTTATGATCACACAAAAGGGAAGAGATTTTTCCTGTTAAAGAGTTGTCTGATATAACGAGAACGGCCACATTTGATGATAATCGAGGCAGGGAACCTTTGAGATCATTTGATGACAAAGTTATGACTGTGGAGTTCAACAACACGTTTGACATGTTCCCGTCTATGGAATTACTTTCTAAATCGAGCTCAAACACTATAGATACAAAATTCCAAAATTTTTCTTGGGCCTCAAATGATGATTCATAAATACACAAACTTTTAATGGATCTTTGTGTATATAACCACGCAGGAAAGTTAGGACCTGCAAATCCCATAACCAATTGTTCAAGTTGAAAAGGTGGAACCCAATGGGGGTCAAAATCAAAGATCAACGGTGGTGATGTGTATTAAGGATGATAGATTTCCCAAATTAATAGGAATATGTCCTGAAAACATGTTCCTCCCAAGAACAAGATATTGTAGATGTTCAAGTTCGCCTAACCAACTTGGAATTGACCCATTTAAGTTATTTTCTTCCAAGACCAAGGATTCCAAGTGGCGAAGATTTAACAATGAATTAGGTAATTGACCCATCAAATAACTTTCACTCATGTAAATATGAGAGATACCACAACTAAGATTGAATAACCATTTAGGCAACTCCGAGTGAAATTCATTTGCAGTAAGATGAAGAACCTTGAGAGAGGTAAAATTAACATACTGAAGAGATGGACTCAAGTCTTCAAGTTGACAAGAATGCATGTCAAGCTCTGAAAGCAATGGAAGCATAGTCACTAATTGAAGCCAATTAGTTTCCTTGTGAAGATCAATGCCACGAAGGCTTAGATGTTCCAAGTTGGACACACGGGAAAGCCATTGAAGACTATTGATGACAAGATTCTTGTTACGTGATAAATCAAGATAACGAAGGGCTGAAGAGTTTACACACTCACGCGGAGGAGTAGCCATAGATAGGTTATGATGACAATTATGACTATGCACATAATCAAATTGGATAGCAAAGAAATCATTATTGCTCAAATTCAAGTGATTTAGAAATTCTAATTCCACCAACAATAAGGATAGATAAATAGAACCTGTGAGGCAGTGTGATTTATCTATTTTGTCAACATAAGTTGGAGGAGCAATGGAACATGGGAGACTGAGCATAGTGACTCTATTTGTGATGTTGTCACATTTCACTCCTCTCCATTCACAACAATCTTGTTGAGTGGACCACGAAGAGAGCACACCTGATGGATCTATGACTCCTTGCTTGAAGTTTAAGAGAGCATGCTTGTCTTTTTGGCTGCAACGGATATTGAAACTGCATGTGCTAGTGTTGAACATGATGGCACATAGAAACCATGCAAAAATGCTTGCATATCGAGGGAGAAATGTATTCATGATTACAAGTGAAATATTGAAGGGGATGTGTATGGCTTGAACTCGAGCGGAACTCTATTTATACAACTAAGAAATTTGGACAAAGAAATTTCCTGGAACTGTGCCCAATACCAATCAATGGTAAACTTACTTGTGTCTAAATTACATGTATCATAAAATCATCATGTCATTGTTATTTATAGGTTAAATTATACTTTTTATTTTTTACGATGTTAAATTTATAATTTTGATCTCCTAATTTTTAAATTTATAATTTTAATTTATAAAATTCATAATATATTAATCCTTTTACCGAATAGTTATTATCTTTTGATTGTTAAAATTATTATGTTAGTCATGATCCAATATTAAATAAATTACATAACAATTAATATATAATAACACTTAGACTAAAATTTATTTTTAGTTTACTTTTTTATTTCATAAAAATAGTAAAATAAAATAAATAAATAAAATTAAATTGTAATTTATCACAAATATTGTTAAATATTAATTATCATATGATTTACTTATTTTCAGATTATGTTTAATTAACATTTTAGTTTTAACAATAGAATATTCGACAAAGGGATCTAAACTATAAATTTTATAAAATAAAATGATTAAAATTATAAATTTAAAAATTATAAGACTAAAATTACATATTAAAAAATACAATTTAACATAATTTATTTCATATTTAATTTAAATTAAATACAAGACTGGCAATGTGCAATAATATTATTTATTTGTTAATTGTTATGTATGATGTACCAAATTAACGTCGAATATATTGTCTTATATATTCTAAACTGACTGTCATTTTATTTTATGATCATATATATAAACCCTAAACTGACCGGCAAACAGCTCCTGAATCTCCTTGCTTCATAAATAAATAAAAAATGCAATTTTTATTTTGTCAGAAACAATTAGAACGTAGAAGTCACGCTGGATGGATTAATGTTTGTGGGGGCAATTTGAAAAATCAGTATGAATATTTTCTTCATGAGTTGACCCGTGGAAAAAATCTGCATGGAAAGTTGGCCTATCTTTCCTCATTAATCAACAAAGTGAATAGTTGATCATTGACGTGTGAAAAGATAAAGTAGTTAATGAGTTAGGTAATAGAAAGATACTTCGATATGATTTATAGTACCATCCTTAACATTCACTACTAGAAATATGCTCTTTTTTTTTCTTCAGATTTTTCTACGAAAAGAATTTTTCAAGAAATATTTGCGATTCTTTTTACAAATTAAATATTGTATAAAATTTTTTGAAAATTTTTACAAATTAAAAGTTATAGGAGATTCTTGCCAAAATTTTTGCGAAAATAAATTTGTAAAAGATATCTACAAATTTTATTGTAACTACATTTAATATAAATATTATTTTTTACAGATAAAAAATTCTAAAAACAATTGTAGAACCTACAAGTTTTGTTGCAAATATAATTAATACATAATATTTTGATGAATTATAGGAAAATTCGTAGGAAAATTTTCTTACAAATTTTCTTGCTCATTGAAATTTACAGAAAATTAAAATAAATTTAATTTATTAAAATTGTTATTTTAATGAAATTAAACTATTTCATTTAAGTAAATATTATCTTATTAAATATATAATTTTTTAATAAATTAATAATAAAAATTTTAATTAAAGAATAGTTTTTTTAAATATATATTAAGTATAATTTATATTAATTTAAGTTTACCAATCTCTGTCCCTGTCTAAATATAATCGAGAACCTAGCTGAGAATTTTTAGAACCCATGTGCTCATTCACACTTTTTCTATCACTTTGCACACTTCCTCTCTCTCCGATTCAGGTTTGCACTTCCTCTTTTTTCGATTCAGGTTCGCACTTCCTCTCTCTTGTTACTCTTTCACTGATTAGGGTGTACTGCACGTAGCTTCCATTTTTATTTTTTTAAAATTCAATAACACTTTCCTAATGCTGCGATTCGACCACTCCCTACCCTAATAGGGACGAACATCCTTCTCACGAACTCCAGGAAGTACAGTATAGCTATAGAAGCTGGAAGGTACGGGCTCCTCATTACTTCTTACTAGACTTGTGCCCGTGCGTTGCACGAAAAATAAATTATTGTAGTCAATAAATTTAATTTTGATAATTAATATATATATATATATATATATATATAATTGGGAAAATTAATTGAACTCAACGCAACATGAATAAAAATATATCAATATACAAATAAAACGCAATGATAAACAATTGAAAACATGATAATATGAAGTATTAGAAAAATTAAATTGCATTGTGTCTCAACTTCAAAAACATCAACATCTACAATATGAGCTAATGCATTAACCTGAAGAAAAAAACCTTATAATTAACTTATAAGAGGTGTAATATTAAAATGCTATAAAGATGTAATTCAAATAGAAAAGAAACAAAATTAAATTTTTACCTTATAGAGTAATTATGTAATGACTCCTGAACACATCTATCATGGAAAATAAATTTGGTAAAATTCTTGAAAAATTGGTAAAATTAGAACTAAAGTAGACATGTTTTCCTTTTATAATTTTATTATAAAAAAATGCAAGTTACCTATGTCAAAGTCTGAAAGACTTCTTTATAAACTACATTAGTAATAGATGTTGAACCATTTACCTCTAATAAGAATTTTTAGACCACTGCGAGATGTGACTCGAGATATTGCGACATATAATTGACCATGTGAAAAAATAGGCTATGGAAGATAAATGGCAACATGCTTCAATAGTTGTCCTTGGCTTTTATTTATTATCATGGCAAAGGAGATATTTATTGAAAATTATTAAGGACAATAGAGGAATAAAAACCTTTTTTCCAATATTGCTGCCTAATATCACTTTTGCCTTCAAAACATATTTACCCAACTGAGTTATGATAAGTCTATTTCCATTACACAACTCAGAAGATTGATCTATATTTCTCAACAATATTATTGGAACACCAACTTTCAATTTCACCTCATGATTTGGAAGTTCAGAAGTAGTGATAATATTAAAGAATTCAGGGGTATAAATTTCATTTAGGTGTACCTAATTATCCTTCAGTAGAACATGTAACACAAAGAGAATCTAGAATTTGCTGGATTGTAACCCTTTTGCACTCTCTTAGAATACCATATCATTGCTCCACATTCTTGGCACTCACAAGTAGGATCACCAATATTGCAATAAAATGTTTATTATTATAAGAAAATAATAAACCTTCAAGTAATAGATTAATGGTTAAAATATGAAACTTAAAATAAAATACAATATTGAAGACATATAATTGGTAGTGGATACATCTTCATGTATACCATTAATGAGTATATTTTGCTTTAAAGTTCTGATTAATCTACCATTGTTCCATATTAATTTTTGTGGTCCTTTCCCTTGTGCATGGTTATTATGATTTGATTCATATTCTTCGAACAACATGTCATCAAAATTCATTATTTTGATTTGATGTGTGATTTGCTCTTTGGCTAGATAATATCTTAACTAGAAAACAACAAAATAAAAGGATAATCAAATAAGAAATGGAAAATATAAACATTATAAAATTAAATAATATAGTTATATATATCAAAAGAAATAAGATTCCATAAATTATCATTTGTGACATTTGATAATGGAGATTGAATAAATTGTTCTGTCATACATACATCTCTTCTAACAACTCTATTTAAGATAGTGTTAGATCGACGTGCATTATGTATGCTATCATTGACTGAAAAAAAAAAAAAACTAACCTTGTAAATAAGTTTCTCCATAAA